CTGTGAACTAACTCTGCTGTCGAGTCGACGGTGGATGCTGTAGCAGTGGATGTCTCCATGAGTGAGGGCTCCCCCCCCAGAAGGGTGTCATCCAGCAGCACTCCATCCATCTTCAAGACAGGTGCAGCAGCTGTGGAATCAAAGGTTAGGCTGGCCCCGCGAGCCACGCCACCCAGACTGTGGGTGCTAGCATTGCTGTTGTTGCGACTCATAGTGCAGCCTGGCCGCACGCTGCTGCTACTGCTGGGATTGCTGCTGTGTCGTGTTCTCCCGCCGCTGCTCGTCGCACTGCACGAACTGCTATTGCGGGACGCCTTGCTGCTACTGTTGCTATTACTGCAGGGTGGAGCAGTGGTGGTGGCAGCGACGGCAGGTGTGGTGGAGAGTCTGGGACCCAGCTCCAGGTACTGCTGGTGAGGAAGAGCCTTCTTCTCGTGGTGTGTGTAGAGGCCAGACCGGTGGTACGCATCGCCCTGCTCCTGCAACTATAACATTGTTGACATGGTATAAAATACCGACAAGTTGAAAATTAAGACATGTGCAACAGTTGGGCATCTTTACTGATGCAACGTTTCGCCTACATAGTAGCCTTATTCAGTCAAATACAAAGTGAACAGTAGAAATGAAGTGATGTAATCAGTCCATCAACCATGGAGAAAAAGTATTGGAGATGGTCACTCCCTCAGCCTGCAGAATAGTTCAGCTACATGGTCTGGAACGATATTGTTCCAGACCATGTGAACCTTCTACACTCTCGCGTGAACCTTCTACACTCGCGTGAACCTTCTACACTCTCGCGTGAACCTTCTACACTCGCGTGAACCTTCTACACTCTCGCGTGAACCTTCTACACTCGCGTGAACCTTCTACACTCTCGCGTGAACCTTCTACACTCTCGCGTGAACCTTCTACACTCTCGCGTGAACCTTCTACACTCTCGCGTGAACCTTCTACACTCTCGCGTGAACCTTCTACACTCTCGCGTGAACCCATCTTGCCTTCGTTTCACTCTGTATAACTTTAGTTCATTAAATACCAACCAAGTGCAGTCACAACTCTATCATTTTCAACACATGGTAACAATATCACAGCTTAGTCAGGTGCCTCCTCACAGTGCAAGTATTTCACACAAACTATTTATATTTCTACGTATTAAATGGAGGGGAAAGGCGAGAAATATCTGTCTACTGCTCTATGACAATAACTATTGTTTAAATAAATTACTGAAAGTAAATTTGTTTTCACATCCAGTACGATACGTATCAGAAGGATTGATATACCATGTAGTGTACTGATTAATAAAATTAGGAAGTTAGAACTTACACATCCCGCAATCACTATGAACCTTCCTTTGTGTAAAGCCTAGCATAACCGAAAGTTTCAAATCGATCAGAAGCAGCATTCTCCAATTATTGCTGGGACTCAAAGCTCATTGACTATTAGTAAATTTGCATCTATTCAGCCTAAATTTGTTAAGTGCTAGTCCATTAACAAGATGCGTCGGCCGTAAAAGGTTGAAGCCGTTCAGAAAAGGCATTCTCGAGATATCAAATGGCGCACCATTATATAAAACAGGAAAATTAGCATATATATCTTTATTTCTATGTACAACGTACATGTATGACAACGTTGTTGCTCTGCCACCGACGTTAAACATATGCAAGATGAACAAAATTTAAGATTTTAATGGCAAGTCAAAATATTTTAGACAACCTTCTTTTCTATTGTTTTTTTCAATGAAAGAAGTATGCTTTGATACATGTAATTACTGTGGAGAAGAGACAGGACTTCCATACTCACGACGGCAAGAAATAAAATGTTCACATTCCAGACTTTTACGAGTTTTTTAATTAACTGTAAACATAAAATAAATACAGGAATCTCACTAACCATAAGTTTAAAAAAAGAGTAAATATTCATATTCAAGGCGCAGGAGAAACTCCAGAGTGGAGTGAGTGCTGTTGACGTCAAGATGAGGGACTTAAACTAGAAATACTGTTAAGGTGTTTATACAGATACTACCAGTGTACTGATTTCACTGCTGGGTGTCTACACCACCCAGTGTACTGATTTCACTGCTGGGTGTCTACACCACCCAGTGTACTGGTCTCACTGCTGGGTGTCTACACCACCCAGTGTACTGGTCTCACTGCTGGGTGTCTACACCACCCAGTGTACTGGTCTCACTGCTGGGTGTGTCTACACCCAGTGTACTGATCTCACTGCTGGGTGTGTGTACACCACCCAGTGTACTGGTCTCACTGCTGGGTGTGTGTACACCACCCAGTGTACTGGTCTCACTGCTGGGTGTGTGTACACCACCCAGTGTACTGGTCTCACTGCTGGGTGTGTGTACACACCCAGTGTACTGGTCTCACTGCTGGGTGTGTGTACACCACCCAGTGTACTGGTCTCACTGCTGGGTGTGTGTACACCACCCAGTGTACTGGTCTCACTGCTGGGTGCGTCTACACCACCCAGTGTACTGGTCTCACTGCTGGGTGCGTCTACACCACCCAGTGTACTGGTCTCACTGCTGGGTGCGTCTACACCCAGTGTACTGGTCTCACTGCTGGGTGCGTCTACACCCAGTGTACTGGTCTCACTGCTGGGTGCGTCTACACCCAGTGTACTGGTCTCACTGCTGGGTGCGTCTACACCCAGTGTACTGGTCTCACTGCTGGGTGCGTCTACACCCAGTGTACTGGTCTCACTGCTGGGTGCGTCTACACCCAGTGTACTGGTCTCACTGCTGGGTGCGTCTACACCCAGTGTACTGGTCTCACTGCTGGGTGGTCTACACCCAGTGTACTGGTCTCACTGCTAGGTGCGTCTACACCCAGTGTACTGGTCTCACTGCTGGGTGCGTCTACACCCAGTGTACTGGTCTCACTGCTGGGTGCGTCTACACCCAGTGTAACTGGTCTCACTGCTGGGTGCGTCTACACCCAGTGTACTGTCTCACTGCTGGGTGCGTCTACACCCAGTGTACTGGTCTCACTGCTGGTGCGTCTACACCCAGTGTACTGGTCTCACTGCTGGGTGCGTCTACACCCAGTGTACTGGTCTCACTGCTGGGTGCGTCTACACCCAGTGTACTGTCTCACTGCTGGTGCGTCTACACCCAGTGTACTGGTCTCACTGCTGGGTGCGTCTACACCCAGTGTACTGGTCTCACTGCTGGGTGCGTCTACACCCAGTGTACTGGTCTCACTGCTGGGTGCGTCTACACCCAGTGTACTGTCCTCACTGCTGGGTGCGTCTACACCCAGTGTACTGGTCTCACTGCTGGGTGCGTCTACACCCAGTGTACTGGTCTCACTGCTGGGTGCGTCTACACCCAGTGTACTGGTCTCACTGCTGGGTGCGTCTACACCCAGTGTACTGGTCTCACTGCTGGGTACGTCTACACCCAGTGTACTGGTCTCACTGCTGGGTGCGTCTACACCCAGTGTACTGGTCTCTGCTGGGTGCGTCTACACCCAGTGTACTGGTCTCACTGCTGGGTGCGTCTACACCCAGTGTACTGGTCTCACTGCTGGGTGTGTCTACACCCAGTGTAGTGGTCTCACTGCTGGGTGTGTCTACACCCAGTGTAGTGGTCTCACTGCTGGGTGTGTCTACACCCAGTGTAGTGGTCTCACTGCTGGGTGTGTCTACACCCAGTGTACTGGTCTCACTGCTGGGTGTGTCTACACCCAGTGTACTGGTCTCACTGCTGGGTGTGTCTACACCCAGTGTACTGGTCTCACTGCTGGGTGTGTCTACACCCAGTGTACTGGTCTCACTGCTGGGTGTGTCTACACCCAGTGTACTGGTCTCACTGCTGGTGTGTCTACACCCAGTGTACTGGTCTCACTGCTGGGTGTGTCTACACCCAGTGTACTGGTCTCACTGCTGGGTGTGTCTACACCCAGTGTACTGGTCTCACTGCTGGGTGTGTCTACACCCAGTGTACTGGTCTCACTGCTGGGTGTGTCTACACCCAGTGTACTGGTCTCACTGCTGGGTGTGTCTACACCCATGTACTGGTCTCACTGCAGGGTGTGTCTACACCCAGTGTACTGGTCACACTGCTGGGTGTGTCTACACCCAGTGTACTGATCTCACTGCTGGGTGTGTCTACACCCAGTGTACTGATCTCACTGCTGGGTGTGTCTACACCCAGTGTACTGATCTCACTGCTGGGTGTGTCTACACCCAGTGTACTGATCTCACTGCTGGGTGTGTCTACACCCAGTGTACTGATCTCACTGCTGGGTGTGTCTACACCCAGTGTACTGATCTCACTGCTGGGTGTGTCTACACCAGTGTACTGATCTCACTGCTGGGTGTGTCTACACCCAGTGTACTGATCTCACTGCTGGGTGTGTCTACACCCAGTGTACTGATCTCACTGCTGGGTGTGTCTACACCCAGTGTACTGATCTCACTGCTGGGTGTGTCTACACCCAGTGTACTGATCTCACTGCTGGGTGTGTCTACACACAGTGTACTGATCTCACTGCTGGGTGTCTCTACACCCAGTGTACTGATCTCACTACTGGGTGTGTCTACACCCAGTGTACTGATCTCACTACTGGGTGTGTCTACACCCAGTGTACTGATCTCACTGCTGGGTGTGTCTACACCCAGTGTACTGATCTCACTGCTGGGTGTGTCTACACCCAGTGTACTGATCTCACTGCTGGGTGTGTCTACACCCAGTGTACTGATCTCACTGGACAATATTTCATCTAGAGGGAGGAGTGAGGTAGTTAAGTAGTGTAGACACACAGTGAGGAAGGGGTGTAGACACAGTAAGGAAGGGGTGTAGACACAGTGAGGAAGGGGTGTAGACACAGTGAGGAAGGGGTGTAGACACAGTGAGGAAGGGGTGTAGACACAGTGAGGAAGGGGTGTAGACACAGTAAGGAAGGGGTGTAGACACAGTGAGGAAGGGGTGTAGACACAGTGAGGAAGGGGTGTAGACACAGTGAGGAAGGGGTGTAGACACACAGTGAGGAAGGGGTGTAGACACAGTGAGGAAGGGGTGTAGACACAGTAAGGAAGGGGTGTAGACACAGTGAGGAAGGGGTGTAGACACAGTGAGGAAGGGGTGTAGACACAGTGAGGAAGGGGTGTAGACACACAGTGAGGAAGGGGTGTAGACACAGTGAGGAAGGGGTGTAGACACAGTAAGGAAGGGGTGTAGACACAGTGAGGAAGGGGTGTAGACACAGTGAGGAAGGGGTGTAGACACAGTGAGGAAGGGGTGTAGACACAGTAAGGAAGGGGTGTAGACACAGTGAGGAAGGGGTGTAGACACAGTGAGGAAGGGGTGTAGACACAGTAAGGAAGGGGTGTAGAAACACAGTGAGGAAGGGGTGTAGACACAGTGAGGAAGGGGTGTAGACGCACAGTGAGGAAGGGGTGTAGACACACAGTGAGGAAGGGGTGTAGACACACAGTGAGGAAGGGGTGTAGACAAAGTGAGGAAGGGGTGTAGACACAGTGAGGAAGGGGTGTAGAAACACAGTGAGGAAGGGGTGTAGACACAGTGAGGAATGGGTGTAGACACAGTGAGGAAGGGGTGTAGACACAGTGAGGAAGGGGTGTAGAAACACAGTGAGGAAGGGGTGTAGACACACAGTAGGAGTTAGTAATGGTGAGAAGGAGCAATAAGAACTACTGACCGTGGTGGTGGTTGCTGGGGTGGTGGTAGTGGTGGCGGTCCTGCTGGATGCCATGACTACACTGCTGGTCACGCTCCTTGCTCACTCACAGCACTGCTGCTGCTGCTGCAGGGTAGGTCACTGCCGCACCAGGCCAAGGTCACTACTACTGCTGGCTTCAAGTCTGGCCAACACTGGCCAAGTCTTGAGGGAAGGGCTCAAAGGTAGGGCTTGAGGAAAGGGCAGAGGTGGAGGGAAGGGCAGGTCAGAAGGGTCAGGGGTAACCAGGGAAGCTGTCTGAAGTCTCACCCGCCAGCCATCACTGCAGCAAAGAAACAACAACAAACATTACTCACAAATTATTCATGTTTACCAAACCATATTGTTATTCAACACTTTAAACATTTTCCGTTTCTAACATTATATAACAAATTTATATCAACACCAGCTTGCTAATGTTATTAACAATTCACTCTTATAATAATCAAACGCAAATAAAACAATTCAAATTAAATTTTTTCGACTGCGCATTCTTTGTCTATAAGAAATACTAGGTCATCGGCTCCTTCAATGGAAGAGTGGCACCCCCATGGAAGAGTGGCACCCCCAAGGAAGAGTGGCACCCAAGGAAGGGGTGGCATCCCCCAAGGAAGAGTGCACCCCCAGAGACGAAAGTGCACCCCAAGGAAGAGTGGCACCCCCAAGGAAGAGTGGCATCCCCAAGGAAGACTGGCATCCCCCAAGGAAGAGTGGCATCCCCCAAGGAAGAGTGGCATCCCCCAAGGAAGAGTGGCATCCCCCAAGGAAGAGTGGCACCCCCAAGGAAGAGTGGCACCCCCAAGGAAGAGTGGCACCCCAAGGAAGAGTGGCATCCCCCAAGGAAGAGTGGCACCCCCCCAAGGAAGAGTGGCATCCCCCAAGAAGAGTGGCATCCCCCAAGGAAGAGTGGCACCCCAAGGAAGAGTGTCCCCCCAAGGAAGAGTGGCATCCCCAAGGAAGAGTGGCATCCCCAAGGAAGAGTGGTCATCCCCCCAAGGAAGGGTGGCATCCCCCAAGGAAGAGTGGCATCCCCCCCAAGGAAAGAGTGGCATCCCCCCCAAGGAAGGTGGCATCCCCCCCAGGAAGAGTGGCATCCCCCCCAAGGAAGAGTGGCATCCCCCCAAGGAAGAGTGGCATCCCCCCAAGGAAGAGTGGCATCCCCCCAAGGAAGAGTGGCATCCCCCCCAAGGAAGAGTGGCATCCCCCAAGGAAGAGTGGCATCCCCCCAAAGATGAGTGGCATCCCCCAAGGAAGAGTGGCATCCCCCCAAGGAAGAGTGGCATCCCCCAAGGAAGAGGGGCCCATCCCCCAAGGAAGAGTGGCATCCCCCAAGGAAGTGGCATCCCCCAAGGAAGAGTGGCATCCCAGGAAGATGGCATCCCCCAAGGAAGAGTGGCATCCCCCAAGGAGAGTGGCATCACCCCAAGGAAGAGTGGCATCCCCCAAGGAAAATGTGGCACCCCAAGGAAGAGTGGCATCCCCCAAGGAAGAGTGGCACCCCAAGGAAGAGTGGCATCCCCCAAGGAAGAGTGGCACCCCCAAGGAAGAAGTGGCATCCCCCAAGGAAGAGTGGCATCCCCCAAGGAAGAGTGGCACCCCCAAGGAAGAGTGGCACCCCCCAAGGAAGAAGTGGCACCCCCCAAGGAAGAGTGGCACCCCCCAAGGAAGAGTGGCACCCCCAAGGAAGAGTGGCACCCCCCAAGGAAGAGTGGCACCCCCCAAGGAAGAGTGCACCCCCCAAGGAAGAGTGGCACCCCCAAGGAAGAGTGGCACCCCCAAGGAAGAGTGGCACCCCAAGGAAGAGTGGCACCCCCAAGGAAGAGTGGCACCCCAAGGAAGAGTGGCACCCCCAAGGAAGAGTAGCATCCCCCCCAAGGAAGATTGGCACCCCCAAGGAAGAGTGGCATCCCCCAAGGAAGAGTGGCCCCAACCCCCCAAGGAAGAGTGGCATCCCCCCAAGGAAGAGTGGCATCCCCCCAAGGAAGAGTGGCACCCCCCAAGGAGAGTGGCACCCCCAAGGAAGAGTGGCACCCCCAAGGAAGAGTGGCACCCCCAAGGAAGAGTGGCATCCCCCAAGGAAGAGTAGCATCCCCCAAGGAAGAGTGGCATCCCCCAAGGAGGAGTGGCATCCCCCCAAGGAAGAGTGGCATCCCCCAAGGAAGAGTGGCATCCCCCCAAGGAAGAGTGGCATCCCCCAAGGAAGAGTGGCATCCCCCAAGGAAGATGGCATCCCCCAAGGAAGAGTGGCATCCCCCAAGGAAGAGTGGCATCCCCCAAGGAAGAGTGGCATCCCCAAGGAAGAGTGGCATCCCCCCAAGAAAGAGTGGCATCCCCCAAGAAAGAGTGGCATCCCCCCAAGGAAGAGTGGCATCCCCAAGGAAGAGTGGCATCCCCCAAGGAAGAGTGGCATCCCCCCAAGGAAGAGTGGCATCCCCCCAAGGAAGACTGGCATCCCCCCAAGGAAGAGTGGCATTCCCCCAAGGAAGAGTGGCATTCCCCCAAGGAAGAGTGGCATTCCCCAAGGAAGAGTGGCATCCCCCAAGGAAGAGTGGCATCCCCCCCCAAGGAAGAGTGGCATCCCCCCAAGGAAGAGTGGCATCCCCCCAAGGAAGAGTGGCATCCCCAAGGAAGAGTGGCATCCCCCAAGGAAGATGGCATCCCCCAAGGAAGAGTGGCATCCCCCAAAGAAGAGTGGCATCCCCCCAAGGAAGAGTGGCATCCCCCCAAGGAAGAGTGGCATCCCCCAAGGAAAGAGTGGCATCCCCCCAAGGAAGAGTGGCATCCCTCAAGAAGAGTGGCATCCCCAGGGAAGAGTGGCTCCCACCAAGGAAGAGTGGCACCCCACCAGGAAGAGTGGCACCACCAAGGAAGAGTGGTCCCCCCAAGGAAGAGTGGCATCCCACAAGGGAAGAGTGGCACCCCCCAAGGAAGAGTGGCACCCCCCAGGAAGAGTGGCTCCCCCCAGGGAAGAGTGGCACCCCCAAGGAAGAGTGGCACCCCCAAGGAAGTTGGCACCCCAAGAAAGTGGCAACCCCAAGGAAGAGTGGCACCCCCAAGAAGAGTGGCACCCCCAAGGAAGAGTGGACCCCAAGGAAGAGTAGCATCCCCCAAGGAAGATTGGCACCCCCAAGGAAGAGTGGCATCCCCCAAGGAAGAGTGGCACCCCAAGGAAGAGTGGCATCCCCCAAGAAGAGTGGCATCCCCCAAGAAAGAGTGGCACCCCAAGGAAGAGTGGCACCCCCAAGGAAGTGGCACCCCCAAGGAAGAGTGCACCCCCAAGGAAGAGTGCTCCCAAGAAGATAGCATCCCCCAAGGAAGAGTGCATCCCCCAAGGAAGAGTGGCATCCCCCAAGGAGAGTGGCATCCCCCAAGGAAGAGTGGCATCCCCCAAGGAAGAGTGGCATCCCCCCAAGGAAGATGGCATCCCCCAAGGAAGAGTGCATCCCCAAGGAAGATTGGCATCCCCCAAGGAAGAGTGGCATCCCCCAAGGAAGAGTGGCATCCCCCAAGGAAGAGTGGCATCCCCCAAGGAAGAGTGGCATCCCCCCAAGAAAGAGTGGCATCCCCCCAAGAAAGAGTGGCATCCCCCAAGGAAGAGTGGCATCCCCCAAGGAAGAGTGGCATCCCCCAAGGAAGAGTGGCATCCCCCCAAGGAAGAGTGGCATCCCCCCAAGGAAGACTGGCATCCCCCCAAGGAAGAGTGGCATTCCCCCAAGGAAGAGTGGCATTCCCCCAAGGAAGAGTGGCATTCCCCCAAGGAAGAGTGGCATCCCCCAAGGAAGAGTGGCATCCCCCCCCAAGGAAGAGTGGCATCCCCCCCAAGGAAGAGTGGCATCCCCCCAAGGAAGAGTGGCATCCCCCAAGGAAGAGTGGCATCCCCCAAGGAAGAGTGGCATCCCCCCAAGGAAGAGTGGCATCCCCAAAGAAGAGTGGCATCCCCCCCAAGGAAGAGTGGCATCCCCCCCAAGGAAGAGTGGCATCCCCCCAAGGAAGAGTGGCATCCCCCCAAGGAAGAGTGGCATCCCTCCAAGGAAGAGTGGCATCCCTCAGGGAAGAGTGGCTCCCACCAGGGACGAGTGGCACCCACCAGGGAAGAGTGGCACCCACCAGGGAAGAGTGGCTCCCACCGGGGAAGAGTGGCTCCCACCAGGGAAGAGTGGCTCCCACCAGGGAAGAGTGGCTCCCACCAGGGAAGAGTGGCTCCCACCAGGGAAGAGTGGCACCCTACACCAGGTCACACCACATCAATGTGACCAAGTGTCAGGGAGACTCACGCAAGTTAACAATAAATTCCTCCTCCCTTGCTCCCCACCTTTCTCTCCCTCCCTCCCTCCCTCCTCCTTGTTCTCTATCTTCCCCTCCCACACTCCCTCCCTACTTTTTCACTTCTATCCCCTCTCTTAATATTCTTATTGCAATAAGTGACTGATGAGCCTATTAATAGTTTTAAATATGTCGATGTGTTTATCGTCTATTATATATATATATATATTATATATATATATATATATATATATATATATATATATATATATATATATATATATTATATATATATATATTATATATATATATATATATATATATATATATATATATAATTATTAATATTATATAATTTTATATATATATGTAATGGAAAAGTTAATAATTTTGTACCAAAAGAACCTTAGAAAACTTATCTAACCTTATTATAACCAGCGCAGTTAATTTAGCCTAATCCAACTAAATATATTTTACACAAGCTTACAATAATTTAATAATAAACAAACAGTTAAATATATTTTTTTCGTTAGGTTCAGAATTATTTTTGCAAAATTATTGCATACACAAATTTTCGCTTGCCTTATTCGGCAAGAAGAGCGTTGCTATTTAAGCCAAAATCGCAAGTTCTACCTATTCGGCACCACACACACACAATATATATATATATATATATATATATATATATATATATATAATATATTATATATATATATATATATATATATATAATATATATATATAAATATATATACATGCACTATAAACACTGATTACTTACTAGGTCAGAACTTGAGGTTAAGTTCAATCATTCATGCAGACAGTGTCAAGTGCGGATATAATCTGAAGATTCCCGATATTTTGTCATTAATAATGAAGCGATTTACCATTTTCTGTATTGATTGTGTGTTTGTCTAAATGGATGGATGTTTGGCAGATAAACATGATGGTCTAGAGTGAAGTCTTTCCCCTCCTCCTCCTCCTCTCCTCCTCCCCCCCCCCCTCATAATTTACATTTCA